TTCCGGATAAAAAGAGATAATTTCGTAAAATTATCTTCTATTAACAAATTTTTATATTCAGATTAAAAAAAGTAGATAATTAAGTGATAATTTTAATAGAGTCCTATATTAAAATTATAGGACTCTCATAAAACAAACTATATCGTAACAAAAAATGGAATAAAAATTATCTTTTATTAACAACTTTTTAAATTCAGATTTAAATACGTATCAATATCTGAAGATTGACGGTAAATAAGTGAAAATTAAAAATTACACGGCAAAAATTACGCTGGTCTAAATGAGCTCCTTTTTTTCAATACTCAAATTCGGCTTCTACAAACGGTACAAGTGCCCGAAATCTCTTCTGCATTAATATATATGATTAAAAAAGTAAACAAAGATACAAAACAGAAAATGTTTGTTACAGTTGAGTTCAATTTTCTTCGTAGTTGGTCTTCAAATGTAAAATGCATGAATTTACCAGCCAACTAACTAATGCACCATTGAACCAAGAAAATAAAATTGCCCAGTCGAATCTCAAAATATTTGTTGTCTCGATAGTTGATAATATGACAAATATCTGTTCAAAATCGATTACACCCTTTGCAAATTTGCCAAACATTAGATTTTTGTGGACAATCAAACTGTTATTCTCTTAAAAATAAATAGGGAAAAGGACAAAACCCCCTCGAGTTATGTCCTAAAGACTAATACCAGCCCGAGTTTTTCTATTAGGATAATTATCCCCCTTGACCACTAGTCAACTGCATAACTGAACCCCCTGACAAGCAAAATGACAAAAATATCATTTTCGTCTAACAATAATTTTTTTATCCACATTTTATCTTCTTTTTTTTCAATGGCTTATTTTGCTTAACAAATCGTTTAAGATATTTATTTATGAATAACAATATTCACCAATTTTTGTGAAAAAAAATTTTTAAAAATAAAATTAATTTTAGTAAAAAATTAATTTATTTGGGGTTGAATTTTGTTTTCAAAAAAGGATATAATTTGTCCAAAAAAATAGCATAATTTCAATATTATTCATGTTTTGAATTAGTCCATTGTTGTTAAAATTAATGTAGAATATGGTTGAAAGTTTATCATTTTAAAAAGAAGAAATTCAACCATAGATAAATTGGTATTTACTCAAATTATTATTATTTTTTTAAAAAAAATATGTATTTTTAAGAAAAATTGGTAAATGTCTTAACCTTAAATAAATCTTTTGAAAATTTATTAAACAAAATAGGTTTTTAAAAAAGGTAAAATTTATCCACAAAAATTTGATTCTAAGGGAAAATGGTATTTTGGTCATTGCTTACATTTTTTTTGCCATTTTGCTCTTGGGGGTCAATTATGCCATTAACAAGCGATCAAGGGGAGTAATTGTCTTTATAGGAAAATTTAAGGTGATGTTAGTTTTTGAGACATAATTCGGGGAATTTTTGTCATTTTCCCAAAAAAAAAGGTGATGATATTTTACCCCTTAGAGGCAAGTTTTTTTTTTTCCCCTTTTATTGGTGTAAATCGTAGGTCATAGCAGTGAAAAGAAAAAGGTTCATTTTTTTGAGGGTTCTATCTTACTATATTTTTTAAGACTAGCGATATTGCCAGCAGAAGTTTTAGCCTCCAGAGTAAATTTAAAATGAAAGGACAGAAGTACCCACGATAACAAAAAATCAGTACTTATCCTCATAAACATGTTTTCGCCTCTCGCGTTCTCGCCTCGCGTCAGCTTTCCAAGTCCATCGTGAATTAAAAAAATTTCTGAAAATTTTCCATCTAATATTCTTATTGCTCCGACATTTTTACAACCTCATACAGAGCCCATGGGCGTTCTCACTTCCCACACATCAAGCAAGAAGAAAAAAAAAATTCAAGACTTTGGGTCAAATATTTACTACTCTGAATACCTTGGTACAGTAATGAATCATCAAATTCTACTCCTTTATTGCAAACAAGCAATTTAGAAACATAAATTTGTAGGCACGGGTTGCAGATTGTTCTATTTCTATAGTTATCTTCTATTTTGAGAAATCGGATATGTCTTCTTGCCTTCTCTCGACTAGCTACTTTTTTTTCTCTTTCTCCCAAGAAATTCACATCAAATTTGGATGGATTTTCATAGTTTTGATAAAATAGTGAAATTTTAACATACTTTCTCTTACTGATCCCAAGAAGCAGAGGCTTCCTATTTGATATTTACCCTCCAACAATACTGAATTTAAGTTCTTCGCTGATCTCATTTTGGTAAATTTTACTGTTGTGCAAGGGGCAGAGGACGGCCGCGGGTTTAAAGAGGTGAAAGATGATGATGTTAACAAAAAATAAGGGGTTGTTAACGCGGGCATTTTTGTCTTTTTATTTTAAATTTGCTCTGAAGGCTAAATTTTGTGCTAGCATTATTGCCGGCCATTTTTTAAATGGAGTTAGAGTAGGAGTTGGCCACTTTTAAATAGTTTGGTGAGAGTAGATTTATCTCATCCCTAAAGAAACTGAGGATAAATAAATCTAAGAGTTATGTATTCATAATGAGGGTAATTTAGAAGTTTGATAAAATTTTGCTCTTAATATAACAAAATAGTTCTTTATTTATCAATTTCCATAATATAATATATATATATATATATCTTTATATATATTAAAGGAGAGTTTTCAATTGTACACATGGCATAAAGTTAGATAGGGTAATCCATGTGGTACAAAATTAAATGGCCAAGTCCACATGCCGTAACCACATCGCTCCATCATTTAATGGTAATTTTTTATGTAAAATTATAAATTTATAGATAAAACTAAATTAATTAGGAGATTTCCCCTAAACGGTAAATTTTACATCTTTATTTACTTTATTAGTCCTTGCATAATAATACTATTTGTTATGTGACTCTCGTATTATGATTAATTGACTATTCTGAACTATAGTCTCTTTTTAAAAATTTTCATCCCAATGATTAGAGTTTAGAAATCAACGTCCTATAAATTTGCGAAAAATATCCAATTTTGCGTGAAACCCAAATTAATAGATAATCATAAAAAATGTGCATGTAACTTTTATTGTGCTTGGAGTAAACTCTATGTCATGGTACAATAATTAATGGTCATATATTGCTAAATACAAATAGAATAAATATAAAACAGATATCTTTTTACAACACTTAAAAAGAAAAGATATCACTCCAATGAATGTTTACTCTGGAGTCTGAATACATCTTTTATTTTTATTAAAAAATTTCACAGACTACAAGAAAGTTACACAAATTGCCAATTTTTTGAACAAATAGAATAGATAGGTATTTTTATTATTCATAAATAAACAAATCGACTATATTAAAAGAGATTTTTCTATTGACACATCACATAAAATGAGGAAGGGTGATTAACATGGCAAAAAAATAGATAACTTGTTTTATTCGGTTAATCAAGAGCAAGTTAACCAATTTATAATTTAAATTATTCTCTGACACGATCTTCATATATAGCAAACCTATTCGGATATTGATCAGGGATGTTGTCGTTGATAATGGTGAAGGCTAGCGGATGAAGGGAAAGCAGACATTGGCTAAACTTCTAAAGAGTTATTGGGTCGATATCTTTTTTTTTTCCTTTAAGCAAGAAGAAAGAGAGACTTGCGAAACTTTGAGCTGAGAGGCACAATAATACACTTAAAGGGTATACCTCTAAAATTAATATTGTAACCTCCCAACACAAAGCCCGAAGAATCCCCATATTATTTAAAGATAGAAGAGCTGGCAGTGTCTAAAACTTACCAGGATACAGAAATGTGTAGAGATATAATAAAGTCTATCTATTATAACAAAGGTCCACATTATATAGCCACCTTACTAAGACTATCGTACTTTTAAATATAGCATAGACTGTTGATCTAAGAAGAGAAGGCCCTTGGTGTAACTCGAGAGATCACCAAGACCCACATATTGTTCAAAATGTCAAACTGAAACCTTTCGAGCTAAGCTACCCGCCTATCCGTATCTGCATTAGTCTCTCTGAAAATATGATGTATTGTATAACCTCTTCTCTCCATAATAGCATGAATCTCTACCATTTCAAAAGGAAATTTCTAAGGAAAATGGACCCCCCGTTAGATAAGATGTTTGCCAACATTTGGCTATCCGTTTCCATCAACTCTAGGGTTTCACATTTCTGTATTCCAAACAAAAGGCCAAACACTTCTACTTGAAAAAAATAAAATAAAAAATTCACCACAATGGACCGTACTTAAATGTAATTAAATACGGGTCTAATACTAGGAAGTACAATATCCTTACACTAGATTGTTATTCAATTCCGTTTGGGTCGGCATCTTACTTCTCCCTCTGTTTCATATTTCTCCGTTTGGTTTATGCCAAGAAATCAATATGTTTCTTATTTCTCCCTTCGACTTCTGCCAATAAATCAATTCGAAACTTTGTAGATAATTATTCTGGTCAATCAGACGAAGCGTCTATTGGTTGGAACATAGAAAGAGCACAAAAAGTACCAAATTTGTATTTAGCAAGGGTTTTTAATTATTATTGTTATTGTTATCATCAATTACTACTACTTGTGATGTTACTGTTCAAGCTCAATTGGCCAAAACGGAATATCTGCACGGTCCGTTTCACTATTCTTTCCTTTTATTTATTTTTATATAAAAGATGTGAAACGAGAGCATTATGTAAAATTAAGAGTATACTTCTAATAAAATATATAAAGTCATAAATCAATAAAACGAAAAAGATGTACATTAAGCTACATTGAATAATTTAGAATATTGAAAATTATTCAAAATAACAAAATGCATTGACATTCAGAATTACACAAATTCAAATTACATCAGTAAATTATTTGTTTATATATATATATATATATATATATTACTCCGTCAAAAATATCATACAATCGTTAAATCATTAAGCTCATATATATTTTGAACAACCCGCACAATCTGCAGGGTAAACACTAGTATATATGATGACTAAAGTGTATTGGAAGACGTACTGGATTAGTGGATTTCTCATCTCTCTAGATCAAACTCACACAACACACACAGTAATCCACTCTACCGAAAAATAAACACTCCCGAGAGAAAAAGAACGCAATCAAGCATGATAAGCTGGATTATTTTTATCCTTTTAGCAACAATCTTGAGTTTGAATCTGCTAAAGCATATAGGGAAGAAGAGATCCGGTGAAGTGAAACTGCCACCCGGGCCATGGAAGCTACCCATTATAGGAAACATACACAATTTGATGGGTTCACTTCCTAAACATGCTCTCGAGAATTTAGCCCGAAAATACGGGGATCTGATGCACCTTCAACTAGGGGAAATTTCAACCATTGTGGTATCATCGCCTCAACTAGCCAAAGAGGTTCTAAAGACAAAAGATGTTACTTTTGCAAATAGGCCCCAAATCTTGGCAGCGAAGACCATATTGTACAACTATTCAGGCATTATTTTTTCTCCACACGGAGATTACTGGAGACAAATCCGGAAAATATGTGTTTTGGAACTCCTTAGTGCCAAAAATGTTCGATCATTTGGTTCGATTCGCCAAGACGAAGTTTTGCAACTCGTTTCATCGATTCGGGACGAGGCGGCAACTACTTCTCATGGTTCCGAAAGAGCCATAAATTTGGCCCAAAAGGTTTCCTCATACACAAGTTCGGTGGTTTGTAGAGCTGCATTCGGTAGATCATTTGGACGACATCAAGAAAAATTGTTGGAATTGATGAAGGAAGTTTTAGAGCGGTCCAATGGATTTGGGGTCTCTGATATTTTTCCATCCTGGAAAATTCTTCATTACTTTAGCTCCGAGCCAAAGATGGTGCAGTTGCGCAACAAGATTGATGAGATATTGGATGCCATAATTCAAGAGCATATCGAGAATGGAGCTAGAACCAAAACTGGAAACGGAGAGTTCGGGCAAGAAGATCTTATTGATGTTCTATTGAGAATCAAAGATAATGGTGGTCTTCAGTTCCCAATTACCAACACATATATCAAGGCTATTATACTCGTAAGTGTTCTAATTTTGATTTCCTTCATGTTAGTTGATTAATAAAAATTTTCATTCATTAAACTTTAGATTTTGATGGGTATTCGGGTTTTGACAATTCTTATTGACACCATAGTGTTAATTTGATCTTAATTAATTACTTATAAGAATTTCAATCTCATGCAACCTATTAATTCTTACCGGTCCGGGTCACCAACAAACACTTGCGGGCTTATAAATGATATAATACATATCTGAATCTTCATATATTTAATTATCCAAAATGTCCATAACTAGACCAAAGGAAAATGCTCCACTTGATCTGCTTTTCAGATACCCATTTGAAACCGGAAACCTAGCTAATGTTAATTTACTCATTTGCTTCTGGTTTCTTCAAAGAAAAGCATCCATTCACGTACATACATTGGAATATTCTGAAATTTCAAGTTGCTCTGATAATGAATTAAGTCCACTTTGTTGTGTTGTTTTAAAATTTTTAACTCAACAAACTAACTTAACTTTTAGGATCGGTGGAGTGTAATAGAGACCTAATAGATTGATTCATTTGCAGGATATGTTCAGCGCTGGAAGTGAAACTTCATCCGTCATGGTGGAATGGGCAATGGCGGAAATGATAAAAAATCCAAATGTCTTGGTGAAAGCGCAAAGTGAAATAAGAAAAGTATTGACGGTAGAGAAAAGAACAATTGAAGAGACTGATATTCACAAACTTAGTTACTTGAAATTGGTTATTAAAGAAACGCTAAGACTTCATCTCGCTCCGGCTCTGATTTCTAGGGAGAACATGGAGGACTGTGAAATCGGCGGATATATTATCCCTCCCAAAACTAGAGTTATAATTAATGCTTGGGCAATCGCAAGAGACCCGAGATATTGGGACAACTCAGACAGTTTCACACCAGAAAGGTTCGAAGACAGTTTTGTTGATTTTGGTGGAACTAGTTACGAATTTCTCCCATTTGGTTCTGGAAGAAGGATGTGTCCTGGAATTTCATTTGGTTTAGCTAATATTGAAATTCCATTAGCTAATATGTTATGCTATTTTGATTGGAAACTCCCAGATGATGCTGATGGTACTAACTTAGATATGACGGAGGACTATGGAGTAACTAACCCAAGGAAAAATAACCTATTATTGGTCCCCACGATGTATGAATCCCTTGGTACGGTTTAAGCCGACCTAAATAATTTATTTTAATTTTTGTACCGATTATGCATAAAGAGATTATTTTGTTATTTTTATATTTTTAGGATTATTTTTATAATTTTTCAAAATTACCAGGGTGTCTTTTGTTATAACGGAAATTGGACCAATTGAACAAAATTGGCAAACATAATCCGTTAAGTATAAGGGAAATTAGGCCAATTGGACGGAATTGGCAAAAATTTCAAACAGTAAAGACAAATTTGGCTAACCGAAAATGAAAGGGATAAGATTAACAATGAGGTCAAAGTTTTGGGTATAATCGCCATTTTTCTAATAAACTCGGTATGATGACTAATCCAAAAGTGATGGTCATTAATGTTGGCAAAACTTTTGTGGCTTGTGATCTTTTAATAATATTGTTGTAAAGCATTTTTGGTCACCAAAAATTTGGATATAGTGACGATTGTCTTACGTCACAAACAATAATTATTTTGGAAAAAATATTGTTTAATGACCAACTTCCTAGCAACCATCATTGGTCGCAAAACATTCCAAATATTTACCAACCAAATTCGTCATCGTGTTTGTCACCAAAAATTTTGTCACCCAAGTTGCTCATCAAAATTTTGGTGAAACTTTCTCCTAGTCACTTCACTGTCAAGAGTTGGTCATTGAAGGCCTTCAGCGGCCATGCTTAGTTGATGCATCAAACGTTGGTCACAAAAAGCCTTTTTTTTCTTTTCATCAAAGACAATTTTAGTGACCAGAGTCTATTGGTCACTAAAGCTCATTCTTTTGTGGTAACTAGTAGTTGGTAGAAATCTGACAGGTGGTAATATGCTGAAGTCCGACAAGCATTAGTAGCTGATAATTGAGGTGGAACCTCGACTGCCGATGGCGATGGTAGAGACCTTATAACTGACCGTCCTCTAGTGGTTGGTAAGATTTTAAAATAATAATAAAAACGATAATTCATACAAATTTTATTATTGTGTTTTGAATTTCAGGATCTTCAGGTTTCAAACTAATGGGAATGAATAATTTTTTATCTTCCTATCGGTGAGTTTGAAGATGAAGAGAAAAAGCGAGGACATTTTTCTCTTCAACGGGACATTAACAAAAGGAGGTAAAATGCCTCTCAGGAGTTATTTTATGGGTTTACTTCTAATCCCTCCTTAACATCTAATCTCTTTACAAACTAAAATGAACCCATTTGCAAATGCTGATGCTTCAGTTCTCAAGCAACACTATAATAAGAAAGTTTGTGAATTGGAAGTTGAAAAGAGGGCCTTGCAAGTAAGCCATTCTGGTGCAACAGATATTCCTTAATGTTACCATCATATCGTTTGTAAAATGAATGAAATAACTAAAATAGCCTCATGTTTCTTTGTCCCACATGAAAAGCTGGAGACTCTTAAAATCAAAATATATACCCCATGTACTACTCTCCTCATTGCCAATTGATTTTGAGGTAGAACCACATGTATGCTTATGTTTGGGCCTTCAAGACCGTGTTGTCCGATCTTGTCTGGTTTCCCACTGCAAAAAGAGATTGAGGTGCTCATAAATAACCTTGCAACCATATCATTTACTACTGATGATAGTGCTCATAAGCTCAAAGCAGATTATCGTCGGCCATGGTGTTTTATTGCAAAGACAGAAAACTAATGTTCATAAGTTTTGAAGGACTACTTTAAAAGTTTATATATTTTGTGTGGGCAATTGCAAATTTTAAAGTGCTATAATATAATTACAAAAATTAATTAAGAAGCATGATATTAAATCACAAATCCATCCCTAATTTTTGTTAAATGTGACATTTGAGTCTCTAATTACTAGTATCATATACCTATTTTTGGAGAAATGAAATATATTTTGTGAAGATGTAAAAGAAAAATAGATAATACTGCATGAAATAAAAAAAAATTATTATCCACAATTTAACCATGAAGGCATCATAATCATTATTTTATTTCGGGAATAAATCAATAAGGCCTTGTTTGTTTGTCTTGTTTTGCCTTTTATCTCACTTTACTTATTAAACACAAAACTCAATGCACTATTCAAACATCAATTTAACTTATTTTTAAAAAAATATTTTAAACAATATTTTTACATAATTTTTGTCAACCACCACCGGACCACCTCCACCGACAGCCGCCGTTGCCGGTCACTGTCTGGCGATAGTCCGGCGGCGGCAGTGGCGGCCGGTGGTGGAGGTAATCCGGAGGTGAGGAAAAAATTAGTGTCGATGGTCATTAAACTATTGTGAAGTCTTTAGTTTGGTTACTGAATTATTTTAATTTCATAAAGTGTCACTATATTGTATTACTATCTAAATCAAAAACTAAACTACATTTTAAATCTCCTCCCAAATTCAAATAAAAAACTAAAACAAAAAGTTGTCTAAACACCAACTAAGTGTTTAAACATTATTCTCAAAATTATCCACGGATGGAATATTGTCGTGGCTAAATCTGTGCCTAATTCAAATATTAGCCAGAACTTTAACTACGGAGAAAGTTATCCAAGTCATTGGGCATGGTTAATCAGTAGCTACCATGTATTTTAACCAACTCAACCAAAATTTATTAACCACAGACAAAAAGTCATATTTAATTCGTGGTAAATACGGTGATGAAGAGAATTTAACCATGAAAAGCCACGTCTATGTAAGTCCATGGTTAATTCGCAGTTAATGTCGTGATTAATACATGATTTTGGGAGAATTGAGGTTTTTGGTCAACTTTGAATGGTTAAATTATGGGTATTTCCTGATTAATTAACAATAACTTTTACCACAAATGTTTATTTCCATGATCAATCACAATTTTTTTTTTTGGGTGTCGTGTGTCTGGGTATATATATCTTCTCTTGGTTTTGATGATACGGTAACAATTTGTTGTTGGATTTTACCACTGGCCTTTGAACCAGTAGTAAAGTAAAACTGTAATTAATATGTGCAGTGTTCCAAAAATCCCTTTTCGTCCGTCCAAAAGTTCAGTTCCAAAAAAAAAACACCAAAAAAAAGTCCACAAGTCCAAATAATGAACAAGACGTGAGTAAAAATTATTTTAAGCGTATTGGGACTAAATTAAGTATACTGTCTCTCTCTATATATATATTTCGCGGCGCTCTCTCTCCCCCTCATCCTCATATTCTCTAATGTTGATTGTTGGATAGTTTACTACTATTCAGTATTCACTTCTCACCCTCCGCTCTACCAAATTGACTCTACAGCATCCTTTGCCCATTAACCAAAACAAACCAAAAAAAAAAAAAAAGAAAATTAATTAAGAGAAGTACAAGTTTTTCACGAAAGCAGTCAAACATAATGCATCTGGCTTTAGTTAGCTGGATTCTCTTTACCCTTTTAGTTGTGATCTTGAGTTTGTGTCAAGTAAAGAATAAAGGGAAGAAAAGATCCGATGAAGTGAAACTGCCACCAGGGCCGCGGAAGCTTCCCATCATTGGAAATATACATAATTTGATGATGGGTTCACTTCCTCAACAAGCTCTCACAAATTTAGCCCGGAAACATGGAGATCTGATTCACCTTCAGCTGGGGGAAGTTTCAACCATTGTCGCATCCTCGGCCCAACTAGCGAAAGAGATTCTGAAGACAAATGGTACTGCTTTTGCAAATAGGCCCGAATTCCTCGTTGGGAAGATCATATTGTACAACTATTCAGACATCACTTTTGCTCCATACGGAGATTACTGGAGACAGATGCGAAAAATATGTATTTTGGAACTCCTTAGTTCCAAAAATGTTCGATCATTTGGTTCCATCCGCCAAGACGAGGCTTTGCAGCTCGTTTCATCGATTCGGGAGGAGGCAACTACTTCTCATGGATCCAAAAGACCCGTAAATGTAACCCAAAAGATTTCCTCATACACAAGTTCGGTGATTTGTAGAGCCGTATTCGGTCGAGCATTTGGACGGCATCGAGACATACTGTTGCAATTGGTGAAGGAAGTTGTAGTGCGATCCAGTGGGTTTGACGTTTCTGACATTTTTCCATCCTGGAAAATTCTTCATTACTTTAGCTCCAAGCCAAAGATGCTGCAGTTGCGCAACAAGATTGATAAGATTTTGGATACCGTAATTCAAGAGCATGTCGAGAATCGAGCTAGAACCAAAACTGGGTACGGAGATTTCGGGCAAGAAGACCTCATTGATGTTCTGTTGAGAGTCCAAGAAATTGGTGATCTTCAGTTCCCAATTACCAACAACAATATCAAGGCTATATTAATAGTAAGTCTTCAGCTTCTATTTCCTTTATGTTTTTTTTTATATATTACCTCCGTTTCTTTTAATCTGTGACTTTAGATTTGCACACCTATTTAAAAAATAATGATTGAGGATTTAATTTATAATTAGCGTATTATCTTTCTTGTCTCTAATTAAAAATATGAAACTTAAAAAATTTAGAATTAAAGTAAAAGAATAGGTAATTAAAAGTAAGTCTTCAGCTTCTATTTCCTTTCTGTTTTTTTTATATATTACCTCCGTTTCTTTTAATCAGTGACTTTAGATTTGCACACCTATTTAAAAAATAATGATTGAGGATTTAATTTATAATTAGCGTATTATCTTTCTTGTCTCTAATTAAAAATATGAAACTTAAAAAATTTAGAATTGAAGTAAAAGAATAGGTAATTGTCATTAATATTATATTGAGAATAAAGTATGACAGATTAAAAAAAAAATACTTTGGATTCACCCTAAAGCAACAGATAAAAAAAAGCCGAGGTAGTAGTACTATAGCAGTGGTAAGAGTTCACCACCCAAGGTAAATCTAATCTTAATTATAATTTCAATCTAAATACCTTAATTACAGCCAGTTTGGATCGCCGAGAAACACGACTGCTAGGTAATATAATAACATGGAATTTCTGGTCATAAATTTATCTATCCTGATTTCCAATATTTAACAATTACTCCTACTAGTTTACTCATTGACTTGTATTTCCTTCAGAGAAATGCACCCAAACACCTAGTACATGCATATTATGACACTTTAAGTTGCTTAATTTAGTGATCAATTGATTCGTAGGCTATCTGATTGACGTGATTTATACCAAAAGCGCCAGCAAATAGAATTATAAGAATAATAGTCTATGCATCTGGATATTCAACCATTCATCTAGCTTTAAGCTTTCCTGGTTGATGAATGTTGTATTAGCACTTTAATATTGAACAATCTTGGCCTCCAACTTTTTTTCGTGGAAATTAAATTATTTGATCGATCTTCCGTGTAGTCATCGAGTTTGTCCAAATAGATTAAAGAAGACAAAGGAGGTATAAATGTGATCTCTAATCACACAACGTAATTAGAGATAAAACCTTCAATGAATTACTCTCTATGTCTCAAAAATTATTGTGTCCAGTTTGGATTTTTATTTTTAGTTCGATTTTTACTAAAAATAAAAATTCAATCTGGACAATAATTTCAGGACGGAGGAGGAAGTAGTAGAAAACTATTGAATTATTTGGAATCAGTCCCACATGCAGTGCTAGTTTGAGACTAAATCAAAGAAGCAGTGGTTCAGTTTCTAGTAATTAAATTCAATGATTTGGATTTAATCTACTAAATTTTTCCATACTTGAGACTGAAATGTTGGGTTTCCCATCATTTAAATGTGTAGTTTAAATTTTGACTTAATTGTCAAAAATACTTAATTTTCATTTTGGAAGATGATCATCATAATGAAGCAGAGGAGATTGTGATCAATTCATTTGCAGGATATGTTCACAGCTGGATCTGAATCTTCATACATCGTGGTAGAATGGGCAATGACAGAAATGATGAGGAATCCGCGGGTCCTGGTGAAAGCACAGAGTGAATTACGAAAAGCATTGCCTTTGGAGAAAAGAACAATTGAAGAAACTGATATTCACAAGGTTAGTTACTTGAAGTTGGTTATTAAAGAAACCTTACGACTTCATTTCCCTACAGCTCTGATTCTTAGGGAGAACATAGGGGAGTGTGAAATCGACGGGTATGTCATTCCTCCGAAAACTAGAGTTTTAATTAATGCATGGGCAATTGCAAGGGACTCTAGGTACTGGGAGGACCCTGAAAGTTTCATACCGGAAAGATTTGAGGACAATTCGGTCGACTTCATTGGAACTAGTTATGAGTTTCTACCATTTGGTTCTGGAAGGAGAATCTGTCCTGGAATTTCATTTGGTATAAGTATTATTGAAGTTCCTTTAGCTAATTTGTTATACTATTTTGATTGGAAACTCCCGGATGATCCTAATAATACTAGTTTAGATATGACGGAGACCTATGGATTAGCTGCAGCAAAGAAAAATAACCTTTTGTTGGTCCCTTCTATGTATGAATCCCTCGGTACACTTTAAGCCGAAACTAATTATATCTATTTTGACTTCTGTACGATTATGCTCGATCAATTAAACGATGTATTCGTTTTGTAAAACATTTTATACTTTAGTTCAAAGTGATGCATTAATCCAATTATTACTAGTTCTTTTCCGTCGCATTGCGCAATCAATTTGTTTTTCAATCCTTCTGCTCCGTTGTCTTTGATGAATTCTTTTTTCCCCATGTTTTAATTGAATTTTTATCGTTATGCTTAACAATGCAGAATAAAGCGTATTAATCGAACATATTAAAAGAGATATAATCAAACAAACATAATAGTAATAAATGTTTTTTCGTACGTATTAAAGTGAAAAAAACCATCATTATCTCGGTACAAAGAATATAAAACGTAAGATATAAAAAAAAATAGGAACTTTTTGTGTCAAGGTTTTTCCTACTGTTCCGCGAGTTTGAATACCTCTTTACATTCGATGTTTTGTGTCTTGTTGTCTTCCTCTAACATTTCGTCCAATGTAGGAGACATGGCCATGATCTTCACCGACTTGGAGGTTTTCGCTCTGAAAAGAGCGGCTTACCTGCTCGTGCAGATACAATCGGATGCATTCGAGTGTTTGTCCCTATGATTTCATTCACTCATTTGTGTCATTATATTGATTGTTAAGTCTGTTATTAAATCTTTTACTATTTTCTGATGATTATAACGCCTGTTAAATTTATTGCTATTATAGGCTAAAATAGGCCTGTTTATTGGGTCGGGACCCGACCCGAACTTTGTTTATCGTGTTCGGTTAAATGTAAATTGGTTCTTTTGGTTAGAGTTTGACAAAACCGAAATGAAAAAGACACCCGAACTAGACATTCCCTAGTTTCCAACGACACCCGAATAAACCATCGGAAAACTCTCTCTATGTCTCCACAATCGTCGGCGACCTTCTGCACACCCTCTAAATCCAATCGCCGGCGACCTTCTTCACGCCCTCATCCATCCAAATTCCATCTCAGATGGGATAAATCTGGGAAGAATCCAACGACTAATCCATCCACTGTGCATCTCCTTCTAAGCAACTCTGACTCTGACCGGCGACGACACGGCTCTCCGACGACTTGCTGACTTCCAGATCTAATGCGGCTCTGGGTCTCAATCTCGATTGTTAGATTCACATTTTAGACGCTCCGCAATTGATCCCGTCAACCATTTGGGGAACCGATTTCTTTTCTGGGTTGAAGTTTCTACGAATTCAATTCATCAAAAGGTTCACTTCCTCGTATTCCTTCTTCTCCTTCCAATTTTGCATCCTACGTATTTTTATTTATTTATTTATTTATTTTATTGTGTTTGCCTTATTTGGAGGGCTGATTTGATTTGATGGCCGGAACTGGAAAATCTTTCATTTATTATGTTCATGTACGAGAAGATGAAGTTCTCTGATGAGTCTGATCCATCATTAGTATTCAACTTCCGTGTTTGTGGCTCTCCCCTATTGGTCTAAATTGCTGGATTTTATTTTCATTTACTCTGGAATCTGACATGCATGAGAGATATGAAATGAAACTTAAAAGTTGTCCTTCAGATTATGCCCTTCAAAGTTTTAGTTGCTGAAAATTTTGTGGTCATACATTTGCTTTTTTATATTATTCAGATGTCTCAAACAAATCAACCTGAAATTGAAGGTCCCTTTGGTAGTCCTAGAGTTAATCAATCGACAATCTCTGAGTCAAGAAGCAACGAAAACCTAGGCAGGTGAAAAAGAGGTCTCCTGTTTGGAAACATTTTAGGAGTTATGTTAATAAAAGCTGGTGTTAAAAAAAGTTTGTGCATACATTGCAAGAGCAAATACTTTACAGACAGTAAAACTCATGGGACGAGTAATTTTTGGAGTCATTTGAAAGTGTGTCCGTCAAAACCTGATCTTAATGGCCTTAAGAGAAAGGGGAAAGGTGCTGGTAATGTTAGTGTAAAAGAGGTCCGTGATGCGATATCTTTTATGCTTGTTGTGGATGAATTGCTTAGTTTTGTTGCTGGCCGGGGATTCAAGCATTTAATGGATGTGTGTGTACCTTCTTTTCACATTCCAAGTAGAAGTACCGTAACTAGAGATATTTTCAAATTGTACAAGGCTGAAAGTGTGAAAGTCCAATCTCAAATTAAACAAAACAAAGGTGGAATTTGCTTGACAACCGATACTTGGACTTCAGTTCAGCGAATCAATTATATGTGTTTGACGGCTCACTTTATTGATTCTGTTTGGAAATTACAGAAGAAAATGTTGAATTTTTGTCCCATTTCAAGTCATAGGGGTAAACAAATAGGAAAGTCCGTTGAAATGTGTTTGTCGAATTGGGGAGTTGAGAATGTGTTCACTATTACAGTTAACAATGCAACCTCTAACGGAAGTGCTATTAAATATTTAAAAAGCATGTTTTCTAATTGGAGAAATTGTGTTTTGGGTGGGGATCTGATTCATATGGGTTTCCTGTTGTTTGCTATGAACTTGAAACATCAACAAGAGGTCAAATTTGTTTTTTTTTTTTTTGTAGAGGGTCCTGTTGACTGGTTTTTATCTTTTTAGAGTCTGCAATATGTATTCTTCGGAAATGGAAGATGTTGTTGTGGATGTTTTGGCTTTAAAGTTGTTCTTACAATGATTTGGATGAATTAAGTGTTTACAAATGCTCTCTGTATTTGAAGTTAGTCTTACCATCAATCTAGCTTATATATGAGCATTTCGAACTCTTTGGTCTCCGTAATTTTCCCCTTTACTTTCTGTGGTGTTATATCTGTAGTATTAATGACCAGTCATTTGCTTACCACAGGGCCAGATTCTTCTGCCCCATTAGACTCAGTTGTATCTCAGAATTGGTTTCACCCATGTTTGAAAATTTTATAATTGTTGTTCCATATGTTGATGAATACTGTACTTTGCACGGTTTTGTTATTATGTTGAACAATGCCCTTTCTTCATTGAAGTCGGTTACGATCGCCTGAGTGCATGATTTTCTGCCGACCATTCTGCTTCATGTTTAATGTTTGAGTGCAATTTGTATGATGAGAGATGTATTTGTTTCTTGTCACCCCTTTTGTTCTTGTCTGCTCCCTGCTAGAATTATACTTCATCAAAATAAAGTATCAAGTTGAGCATGCATCCTAGGAAACTGATTGCTCTATAAGATTAAGATTATTTTTTAAGTCTGTATGTTGACCAATGCATTTTTAGTTCATGTTGATGTCGATTGTTGTAGTTATATCTTGAGTTTACTCTTTTCTTTGCTGAATAGCGGTTTGATGAGTTCATGAACCTTTTCCTGGATGAGGCTGAGGAAGTGAACATAAAGAAGAAGTAAGATCTGATCAGCTGCTTCTAGTGTTGTGGATCATGTGATAACTTCTAGAGATGGTTGTAGTAGCTGCAACAGTTCTAATGTTTATTTTGGAGATTGTAATGTTTCTTTCAATTGGATTTTTATGTGCCTTTTAGTGTATTTGATGCTCAAAACAATATAATAGAGGGATGAGTACAAGCAAATTTAAAATCATGGGCCAAAAGAGAAAAAAAAAATCTGGTAAAAAAAAAAACAAAAAGCAAATATGCCAACAAAAAAAAAATGCTTGCTGAAGCCATTTTAAATCGGGTGTACCCGATTAACCGACCGGAACCCGAATAACCGAACAAGTTATCCGGGTTGTTAGTCAAATGATATTCTGCTTAAATTCGGGTTAACCTGTTTTCCACCCGAGTACCCGATCGGCCCGAATATGTTGACCCGAAACCCGCTATTTGGACCCGAATAAACAGGCCTAGGCTAAAACCATGGGTGGAACCAACATAGTACCCGGGGGTCAGCAGATGACAAACCGTCGTCACACTAGCCAAATAATTAATTACCTACTTAATACAATTATTAGCAGTAAAGCAGAAAAGCAGGGTCGATCCCACAGAGAAGGTTACTAAGTACCGGTTTAAATTATTTCTTATTATTATTTAGATTAACAATTTATCAATTTAAATTAATCTAAACCTAAAACTAACAATTGCGATTATTTAAAGATATAAACAAGTAAAGATATAAATAAGTAAAAGAAAAACCTAGGGAAATGGTTCACCAACCGACTATTCAGTTTAATTTAATCTATAAATATGTGACTTTTGACTCTTATTAATCTCACGACAATTCACCAATTTAAGAATTATACACTCTCGTGTCATAACCCTCTTACTTAAACTAACTCTATGACTACTCTCGTGACTGTAGGGATTAATAAAAGTACATTAAGAACTTTAGAATTACTAGTCGCAAAGGCAGTGTTCCTACTCTCGTGGCTCACTACCTAAGTTTATTATTCGTACAAACTAATACTAGCCTTCTAGTCTCGCTACTTCAGCTAGCACCTTAAAGCATGCAAATATTGATCAGGTATTCACATGGATGAAAAACAAGAATAATAAATATTAATTAATGAAAAAGTCACAATCATAACTTAAATTAAATTAAATAGTACGGCGGCTATATCCAAAACCCTAGATTAAATAATATAGCTACACATCATCTCAAAAATAAATAAACAATGAAACCCCGGAGAAGTAGGCCAAAAGTTGAGTCTGAAGTTGCTTGCTTCCTTCTCCGATGATGGTGCGTAGGTGATGAGGTGCTGATGGATGATGGAGGTGTGAGGGGTTTGATGGCTTCGGTGATGATGATGCGTAAGAGAGGTGATGTGGGATGATGATGATTAAGGTGAGGTGATGGTGATCAAGGATGAGGATGCGTGGTGATGGAAGCAGAGTGGTGTTGATGGTGATCAAGGTGGCGTCGGTGGAGGTAGGTGTAGCAGGAAGGTGGAGCGGGCGAGGTGGGGAGGGGGGGTTTGGTGAGTTTTTGGTCAAGTTCTCCCTTCTCCAAAAATAAAATCCTAATTCTCTTTTTATAGACTTTCGTCAAACCCTATTTCTTCAGGAATAAGAAAGTTATTATTATTTTTTTTCAAGTCAATTTAAATTAAAACTCCTCCAACTCTTCATGTGCTTCAATTTCTTCCTTGTCAATTTATCAAATCTTCAATTCTCCCTTTGAGTTGCTTTTATCTTCATTTTAGCTCAAAATTTCAACAATTCCTCCATTCAAGTACAATTCCTA